AGACAGACAGACAGACAGACAGACAGACAGACAGACAGACAGACAGACAGACAGAGGGGAGAGAGAGAGAGGAGGGGTGAAGAGCGAGAGAGAGAAACGGAGAGGGAAAGACAGAGACAGGCAGAAAAGGCATGTGGACTAAAACAGACATGGGCTGAAAGAAAAGACATACGGACAAACACAAACAGAACGAGAGACGCGAAAAGGGGGGGAAGACTGGGACAGAAGCGAAATACACTGACAAAGACTGAGAAGGAGAATGGGTTTATAAAAATATAAACTGGCCAAAGGAAAGAAACAGAAAGGCAGCTGACTGTTTGATTGTTTGAATTGAAAAGAAGCGCATCCACATGACGACGGCAATTTTGTGCGAGGAAAACAACGAGAACCCAGACAGGAATAACAGGCGAGCGGGCAAGAAGTGGGACTTTACAGTGCAACGACCCACCATAAGACGAGGTAGCTGGTAAATGAAAATGTCTTTTGTTTTTGTAAGAGGTTAGGATCTTAAAGTGCTGAAGAATTGAGATGTTACAAGAGAGTAACAAACATAAAACAAAAAGGAGGAGAGATATGGATTGCTGATGTTGCATAGGAAATAAGAAGCAAACCACACCAGAGCATCTGCCAATCACCCACGAAACTGCATAGGCTTAACGCACCTTGCAACGCTGTAGGTTTATTAAAAAGGCGGGGCCTTCGAATTTGACGTCCATTTCCGACAGGAATAAGCCAGAGGGGAAAATTCGGGAAAGGTGCCTTTTCTAAGAACACAACGCCGGATCATATTGAGCCTCAAACCCCTTGAGTCCGCAATCTCACGATTACGAGTAGTCTAACCACTACACTACTGACATCACAAGTTGGTGTACAACAAACGGCAAGGGTAAAGTTGAAGTCTCCTTTGGGAACTTACTTTACCTACTTCGCACATCTGGGGTCTCCACTCTCTGTAGCGCCAACAAGGTGGTAACCATGACGTCGATGATTTTAATTAACGTAAATCTAAGAACAAAAACCCTCGACTGGACCTTTACTTGAAGAACATTTATTTTCGAGATACACACACTGCCCCCCTCATTCTCTCCCTCTCTCTCTCTCTCTCTCTCTCTCTCTCTCTCTCTCTCTCTCTCTCTCTCTCTCTCTCTCTCTCTCTCTCTCTCTCTCTCACACGCACGCGCGCGCGCGCACACACACACACACACACACACACACACATACACACACACACACATGCACAAACACACACATACATATACTTACACACTTACACACATATAGGTATGTTTTGTGTTTCCCGTAGGCCGTGGCAAAGCTACAGAAAGATGTTAGTTTCTCCAGTCTTGGCCTCCGTGCTTGCAGCAAATGTTCTCCTTTGGGAGATGAGC